CCAGAAGAGCTGAAAAAGGGGAGCCATTCAGAGGCTGGCGAGTCATTGCAAGGGACTGGTGTAGAGCCCGTCCCATGGGAAGTGTTTGGAGCACGGGCAGTGGGGAAGACAGGTCCACTGGGAGAACACTGGGACACAGCAAGGACAGCCAATCTGTCCCCCAATCAGCACAGGACCACTCAGAGGAGACTGGTCAGGAATGCAGAATTGCATGAGGTACAGTTTGATTAAAAGGTTCAGGCCCAGATCAGAGTTTCTACACAGCCCAGGTGCACTTAGTCTCTGGAGAGTCAGAAATACCTATAAGGTCAACCATTAAACCCTGAGCTGCACAAAAAGCCTTCCTTAGGGAAACCGCAGCAAAGCAGCAATTTAGCTCAACCACACAGCTCAAGTACTGGTTCCCACAAGAAGTTCCCCTGTTTTAGAAGTAAGCAAAGGACAAAAAATTAGTTCCAGCCCAGGCACAACAGCAGTGCCTCAGGGCCCCACCCAGGGACCAGGGACATAGAGCCAGGGACCTGACCCCCTGCACACAACCAGGCACACCACCAGCACCATGGGGCTCTGCCTAGGAACTGGGGTATGGAGCCAGGAACCTGACCCGACCCACAACCAGGCACACTACCAGCACAAGGAGCATGCCAAAAACATCACCTCCATGTGGGTGGCCCCCACAGCCACCGCAGTAGCCACGACTACTGCAAAAGTGGCTAGACATAACAACCACCATACAGATAGTCTGCCAGCCACTGGAGTGCATTGACACAAGGAGAGTCACCAGCAGAGCCAAAAAAAAAAAAAAAAAAAAAAAAAAAAGAATAGGATGTCTCTCTCCACAAAGCTATTCCAGAGTGAGAGAAGCATCTGCTCTATGATAATATTGGGGGACCTGAACACACCTCTCAGCATTGGACAGATGATCTAAGCAACAAATCAACAGAGTAGCCATTACTCTTTCAGAAGGAGAGAAGAAATCTAGGATTATCAGTGGTGGGAGTGGGGAATGGGAGGGGGGAAGGAGACGGGTATAGGAAGAGATTGGACAAGGGGCATAAAGAATAAGTACAATTTGTAACAATTTACATACTGATGATATTGATTTGATCAACATATGTCAACATTGAATCCCAAAAAAATGTATAATCAACTATGATTCAATAAAAACAAAACAGTGATAGTCCATGGGTACAGGAGTGCTTGTGGCTAAAGAGAGTATGAGTAGTTTACTGAACCCAGAATCAGTTTCTTTTTCTTTTTTTGGCAGCTGGCTGATAAGGGGATGTGAACCCTAGACCTTGGTGTTATAACACTGCCCTCTAACCAACTGCCCAGGAGCACTTTCTTTTTTTTTTTTTTTTTTTTTTTTTTTT